TGATGAACCTGTTGAGTGCGGCGGCCATCCCCATTAACTTCTGAACCTCCTTGACTGATCGAGGGGAGCCGAGTTCCAGGATTGCTGTGATTTGCCTTGGGTTGGCTTCGATTCCTCGGAGGTTGACAATGTAACCCAAGAATTTGCCAGAGTAGATCCCAAATGCACATTTGGAAGCGTTTAGCTTCATTCTAATGCCGAATGTCTCTTCAAGATCGGCTATATGATTCTGCTCTTCCTTGGACTTGACCACCATATCGTCAATGTACACTTCTATAGTGTGGTCGAGTTGCTCCTTGAACATGGTGGTGACTAGTCTCTGGTAAGTTGCCCCTGCATTCTTCAGCCCAAAAGGTATAACCTTATAGCAATAGGTTCATCCTGGGATGAGGAATACAGTTTTGTCTTAGTCCTCCGGATGCATGGCAATTTGATGGTAGCCTCTATAGGCATCGAGGAAGCTCATACGTTGATGATGTGCCGTAGCATCTACAAGTTGGTCTATTCTGGGGAGAGGAAAACAATCTTTGGGGCAGGCTTTGTTTAGGTCCGTGAAATCAATGCAGACTCACCAAGTCCCATTTTTCTTCTTCACGACCACAGTATTCGAGAGCCATGTAGGTTAGGTCCCTTCCCTGATTGCCCCGGCGTCAAGCAACTCGTCAACCTTTTCAACAACGGCGACAGTGTGCTCTGCGGCTGAACGCCGGCACTTTTGGATAATCGGCTTGCATTTAGGGTCAACATTTAGACGGTGCTGCGAAACAGACGGATCTACACCCGGCATCTCGTATGGAGTCCACGCAAATACATCACGGTTGCCGAGCAAGAAGGAAATTAGCTGCTATCTGTCGGCTTGATTCAGAGAAGCGCCGATCATGAAGAACTTTTTTGGATTTTCGTCAATTTCAACTCGATCTAGGGCTTTCGTGGCCTTTTTACTTGGGAGCCGCCCAACATCGTCGAGGCTCTCTTGATCTGGACCTCAATAGAATTCACTTGCAACTCTCTTGGCGTCTTTCTAGCAATGAGATAACATGCTTGTGCCGATTTCTGGGAGCCACAGATTTGCTTAATGTTGCGTTTTGTCGAGAAGCGTAGTAGTTGATGATAGGTGCTTGGTACGGCCTGCATAGTATGTAACCAAGTTCGCCCCATGATGAGATTATACGACGATGGCAGCTTGACGACCAAGAATTCCACATCCATTGTTCGGGAGCCCGCTCAAACGGGTAGTGTTATTTTCCCCAACGGGTATTCTGGATTGGCGTTGAAGCCGAATAGTGGATAAAGAGCTGGAGAAAGATCCGATTCGGAGAAACTGAGTTTAGTGAATGTCTTGTAATACATGACTTCCGATGTGCTCCCTGGATCAATGAGTACGCGCTCAACAGTGAACCGGTTTACGCGCAGTTCAATAACTAACAGATCAATGTGGGGGAGTGTTATGCTGATCAAATCAGAATCGTCGAAGGTAATACTCGGTGCTTCATGGGGCCATTTTGCTGGTGTGATGTGCTTTTGGGTTATTGGGTGCGACTGAATTGCATGCACGGTTGGGGCTGTCGGCAGGCTATATATCATATGGATGACACCGAGCGGGGGTGGGTGAGTCCTGTAAAAGGGCAACTGTTTTGGTCGAGTTCTTTCGGATATGTTGCTGAAGTCGACCGTCTTGTACCAACTCCTCTAGGTGGTCTTTCAAAGCATAGCAACTGTCGGTATCATGGCCGCGGTCTTTATGATACTCGCACTGCCTATCCCGTCTCCTCGTATCGGGAGGTCCCATCATTTTTGATGGCCATTTGAAGAATGGGAGGTGTTGAACCTTAGTCATAATCTCACTAACCGGCTCCGATAACTCTGTGTATTTTTTGTCGGCCCACCTCATGCGCCTATTATCCACTTGAAGCTGCGCATTAGCTCGGTGTGGACACTGGTCGCTTGATCGGCGTGAATCCCGTCTTCGATCTTGCTTGGTCCGATTCCGTGATTCGGGGCTCCGTGGTGGTACGGCGTTTATCGGCTGCACGACCTCAGGCGGGTCGACTTAGTGGCTTTATTCCCGTCTTTGACCCAGAGGGCATCGTCTTCGACTTTGCAATATTCCTCAACTTTTTTCATCAACGCCCAGACCGTTTTTGGGGGCCGTCTAGTCAAAGAGCTGCGGAGGACGTTGTCGGGATGCAACCCCATCTTGAAGGTGGTAATGGCTATGGAGTCATTGCAAGCATCATCTACCAGATTAAAATACTCCCAATACCGCACTGAATATGCACGAAGGATTTCCCCCGGTTGAATCTGCAATGCCCAGAGGGAATCGACTTGCTTTGGCTGGACCTCATTAGTGATGAACCTTGCCCTGAAGGATTTTTGGAGTTGGTGAAAGCTCTTGATTGAAACCGGCTCCAGTTTATAATACCACCTGACAGCCAGTGGTCCTAAGCTGCTTGGAAATATTTTGTACATGAGAGCTTCGTCATCGGCATGCAACGTCATGGCTTGCTTATAGTGACGGATATGATCCGTAGGATCCAATTTCCCATCGTACAAGGTGAACGGCGGGGCTTTGAACTTCTTGGGTAGTACTGCCCTTGCAATCCGTCGTACATAGGGATCGTGCTGGTCTTCTTCGTCTGAACTGTTTTTTCTTCGCTTATGCCTTATACGTGGACTCTCTTCAGAGGAACTGGTAGTTTCGGGTTGTTCCTTCTTCTTGGGCTCCGGGGATAATGAGTCGGAGTCGCTATCAGTGTCTTGTTGTCGGGCTCGAGGTCGTCGACCACCTGCCCTCAGAGGTCATTCCGGATCTTGGCGTACAGCTTGTTTGGACTTCGCCACCTCCAAGGCCAAATCCTGACGGAGACGTTCGTTCTCAGCGATCATGTTCTCCAACCTTTGTTCATTTTGCTTTGCTTGTTCCATGATCACTTGCATTGTCTCATGCGCTGAAGTCGACGGTGAGCCGAAGTTCAAGGCGCGTCTTGCGATGATAGTCTCTGGTCCAAGCATGTTCGTTGGAGTGAGGTCGTCTCTCTGACTATCAGACTATCGGACCAGCGTCAGTGACTATCGGAAGGTCTTCCATTATGCCCGCCATGGATGTACTTGAGTATTCCCACAGACGACGCTAATTGTGGGGAAGTGGTTTGAAAATACTCTTTTGATCCTGGGGAACGCTCGTGATCCTCAACTAGTCACCTGAAAAGAAATGAACACTCCGGTCGGGGGTGCCGGAATTAGCACTCCGACGGATAAGTTAGTGTATGCTCTTTTGATTGCTTGCATCTTAAGTTAAGCACACTAGTTCTCACATACCTTTCTCTGACTGATGATCGTGTATTTATATTATTCTCCTTGGGCCCTAGGGCCAGGTCCACCCTCGATCCTTTACATGTACTTTTACTCGGCCTTTGTTCTACTGATTGGCAAGTCGATTATTTTATTTGGCTCTTCAATTGACTAGGATTAATGCCGAATAAAGATTATGTCTCGGACTGGACTCGTCCATTCGTTCCTATTGATCCAATTAAATTCAGCTTCCACAATATTTTATAGAGATTGATAGATTTTGGGGAAGAGACGTTCAGAATTTTGGAGCTTTATTCCAATGGAGCTTTCTTTCTTGACTTAACTTGACTTGCTGTAGATTTTTATTTTTATCTCTACAAGTTTATTTTTGTATGTAGAATTAAATGGAAAATTGTATGTAAAATTCTAGTAGAGATCACCTCTATTTATAGACATGAGTGGAGAAAAATCTTAATAAACTTAAACTTCTTTGATAATTATCTTTGATTTATTTAGAGATAGATACCAAAATATTACTTCAAAGGTGTGACATAATTTTATTAGTTTGACCACCTCAATGTCACAAGTGGCTTAATTTGATTAGCCAAAGATTTTCTATGTAATACATGACAATATTTAATTTGACCACCATATAATATTGATTTGAGACTAATTAGACACATGACAATATTTTATTTGCCAATAATTATGTCATATTTTGTAGGCCTTTGTAGTATGTGGCATCTGTAATTGACTAAAAATTTTCATGCTTACAATTATTATTATTATTATTTCAAAAAGATTACATGTAAATAAATAAACATTAAGAATAATATGATTGCAATTTGTTTTGGGGGTGTAGATCATAATTTAAATAACTTTTAACTGTATGATATATAATTTATATATATATATTTATTTTTTTGTGTTCAAATTTTGTGCATTTAATATTTTTGTTTTCTCCCTCTATAGGGTAATTATATTTTTAGTCCTCAAATATGTTGTTTGTGTCATTCTAATTCCTATTAATTTTTGTCAATTTAGTTTCAATGTATAAAATTGTTTCAATTTGGCCTCCCAACCGAACTTCATTAGTCGATGCCGTTAATGTCAAAAATAAATATGAAAAGTCACTTAAAATTATACTTTTAATCTTCAAAATATGTGATTTGTATCATTAGTATAGGAACTCGTATAAAACAATTATATTGTTAGTCCTCATGTGATAGGTGTTATTTTAATTTCTAAAAATACACATTTATACATAACTATAACTTCTGTTGATGAAATTAGATTCGAAAGTTAAACTGAAATTATTTTATACATTAAAAACTAAATAGATATAATTTATATATTATGGATTGAAAATATCATTAACTCAAATGGTGAAAGACCATCCTCTCCTACTCCTATATGAGTTTTTTTCTAACCAATTAATTTTTAAGTTACAACCAAACAAAACCTAATGAAAACATCCGATGCTTCAATTAAGTATTTATTGATATGAGACTGTTACTTTTAGATGAAATGATTTTAAAAATAAAATGAAAAATATCAATAAATATTAAAAAATATATCTAATTAATTATTCCCTTTTCAACAGGGATGGATATTTTGGCCTGCCACTTATTCCTCATTCATGAAAAGAAAATGTTCTTCCAATGGCAATCTGCTAAAAAACAAAAAGAGCAAGCAATTTAAAATGGGTCACGATCCATCAACGTCGAGAGAGAGAGAAAGAAAGAAAGAGAGAGAGAGAGACTCAATTCCATTCCAATTCCAATATTCCATTGAACAGTACTCCTTTTGTTTTCTCGAATTCCAACCTTTCTCTGCACAACCACCATTACATCTCTGCAACCTCCTTTTTCATTCCCCATTTAGAAGCTAGTAGTAATTGCAAAGATAAGGAAATCAGACCTCCTATCCCCCACTCACTCTCTCTCTCTCTCTCTCTCTCTCTCTCTAGAAAGAAGGAAAGAGAGAAAGTCTGATCTCTCTGCCTGCTTAAATACACAGCTTCCCCTTTTCACTAACTTTTCCTTCAAGCCTTCATCCCAAGAAAAACTCTGTTTACTTCCCTCTTTTTCCTGCATTATTTTGCTGACTACTAGTAGCCTCTGCAATTCCTTCACCCCTCTCTCTCTCTCTCTCTCTCTCTCTCTCTCTCTTAATTTTCTTTTGATTCTTTATGAACCCTAGATGTATGTCTATCCTACTGAAAAGCCTATACTCATCTCTCTCTCTCTCTCTCTCTCTCTCTAGACACACATGCAAATCATAAGGCACTCATGACATAATCTCACCTTGCCCCTCTTCATTCCCCTTCCATCAAGGCTTCAACTTTCCAACCCATTTTCTTTGAGTATCTTTTATTTCATTCCTTATCTCTCTCTCTTGTGATCTTTGTTCCCAAGCTCAAACACCATGAGAACTGGTTCGACAACTTTTCCTGATCTGTCTTTACAGATCAGTCCACCGACCATTTCAGATTGTGAGGTTAAAGGAATGGGTTATTATGATGGGTTGATGAGAAAATCATCCTACAGTGACCGAAGCTCAACGACCGAGTCCGGTAGTAGCGGTTGCGGAAGCGATTTGAGCCATGAAAATGGTTTCTTCTTTCCTACAGAGATGGGTTTCAATCATAGTCCTGTTAAGCCCTCATTGAGTTTAGGGTTTGAAGCTATGGCAACTTTGAATCCTCTACCCTTACAACATCATCATCATCAGAACTACCAACCTCAAATTTATGGCCGTGCGTTCAAGAGAAATTCAAGAATGATCAATGGAGTTAAGAAGAGTGTTAGAGCTCCAAGAATGCGATGGACTTCGACTCTCCATGCCCACTTTGTTCATGCGCGGTTCAGCTCCTCGGCGGCCATGAAAGTAAGTTAAACAATTCCAAAAACATTTTTACAGATTATACTCACATTACTTTATTCATTTTAGATAAAAATGTAGATTGATTGGGGTATCTATTTGCATTACATTTCTGACAAAAACGGCTAGCTTATGCACTTTATAAATATCTCAGGAGCAACACCCAAATCTGTTTTAGAGTTGATGAATGTCAAGGATCTCACCCTAGCTCATGTGAAGAGTCATTTGCAGGTGGGTTTACTGTTTTTAATTGCAATAATGTCAATGTCAATGTCAAATCATTTGGTTTTCTGTTTAGAAATTCTGAGTGAATGGTATTTTCTCATGTTTAATCAAATACCGTTTTGAACATATGAAATAGATTGGTCTTTCTTTTTAATAATTATGTTTTGTTTGGTAACTTTTTTTTAATGTATTTATTGTACATTTAAATTGATACTAGTGGAGCATTTATAATTTTACATCTAAAAATTTTGGTAATTTGATGAACGACGATGATTGGTTAAATTTAAAAAATTATTAATAAATATTCACTGGAGTAGTTAACAACATGAACATTTTTGAAGGACAAAAATCATGACAAAGTTTTGAAATTGTAATAAATTATTTGTTTTATATAATAGAATAGATGATTGTATGTATGCAGTAGTGGGAGTTGGGGTACAGTACAAGGGATAAAGACAAAAGGGCATCTATAGGGTAATCTTAGCAATGTGGACTTTTTCCTAACAAAAATTTATGCGGTTGTTCATGCAGATGTATAGAACAGTGAAGAGCACTGACAAAGGAACAGGTATTTGGATTTTCCTCTTAAAGCATCCCATTTCTATTGATTTTCCATTATTCTCTTTGTTTTTGAGCTTGGTGATGATATCTAAGGGTGACTAATAAATCTTCTAGTTCTAGCTGTTGAGTTTCACTGTTCCCAACTGCACAAAATTGTGTTAGGATTGTAGTGATCAGTCTCCGTGATTATGAATTATTTCAAGTGTCTGATAAAGCAAGAGCAATGGGCTCTCCATGATTATGAAATGTTGCAGGTGAAGGGCAGACAGATATAGGTTTGCACCAGAGGACAGGTGTAGTTGAAGTTGATGCAGGATTATCATGTGAGAAAGCTGAACCCAACCCTTCTTATTCTATCAACCCATCACCACCACCACCAAAAATGCAAAATGCCCTTAGGTAAGTGCATTTCCAAACACCCCTCTATTTTGGTATTTGGTTCAGTAGATTGACTAATTTGAAAACCAAACCCACCATCCACTTATGGGATGTAATTTTGTTCTTTTTTGCTTTGTTAAATCACTCATTGTCCCAAAATATAAAACTTCATGCTATTATTTTCTCTCACATGTGATCTGGTTTTCTGCATTGAGAGAATAGACCGAGAGAGAGCCAGGCAGGAAATAGGTGCAATAATGTAAATCAAACTAACACTGTCAATCACTTGCCATCTTATATGAAGAGAATAGGATACATGAATACAAAATAATAGCATACATAAAAACAGAGATAATGTAAGAGATGAGATTTGAAATTAAAACCTTCTAAAATCATAGTATAATTTTTTTTGCTTATTATAAAAAAACATGTAAAAAAATGGATAGGTAATTTGATTTAAATAAATCAATAAATATCTTATTTATGTGCTCTCTAAAAAAGAATTTAATTGTCAAAAATTTAAATTAACCAAAAATGAGTGCAACAATATACATCAAATCTAACATATTTTATTAACAAAGTACGTATCCTCATTTCCATCATTACAACTTGAAAGAAATACTCCTGACTAACATGAAGGCATCTAATGAATGCAAACATAGATACAAATGTATATAGACAACAAATGAGGTGGATAATTCTATTTTGGTCCAATATATGGTGTCTTTCTTTGTTGATGGTGTGTACATAACGTAGAGTTTCAAGTACAATGATTTGGTTGATCTACGTGGAAAATTGTTTTGTTTACATGCTTGACATGTGTGTAAACAAAATATATTTTGTAATTAGTTTAGAGCAATGGTAGAGGGCTAAAAAAATGTGGTTTAAATGGTTCAAAACTGACAAAACGACGTTATTTTGATAGTTTTAAACCATTTGAACCATACTTTTTGTGACCCTCAAACATTTTTCATTAGTTTAACTGGTAATATCTTGTTAACTTATATTCTGAGGTACATTTTAAAAAATTTACATTTTATATATAAAATATATAATTTTTAAAATTGTTAATATTTGTGTTTAAGACATTTTAAAACAATCTAAAATAATATGATTGATCTTACTAAAAATATAATGAATTAGTTTTTAAAAAAATCATTACTTTAACCAATTAAAAAAAATACTAAATATCTTAAATATTTTATTAAATTATTTAGATTAATTTATGTTACATAAATATAAATTTCACACTCATATTTTTTAAAAATATTAATAAAATATTTGAGTACTCGTTAGAATGAGTCCGACGTCATGTCTCCGGACTGCCAAGTTCTGGCTTCCTAATAGCCGTTTGATTGAGAATCTACGGATCTCAAGGTTTTCTAAAAGTCAAGGAGTCCGCTCAAATCTCAATGCGACTATAATAGAAGGTTTATGTGAAGTGCTACCTCTCAATTAGTGTCTTTAATCAAACAAGATATTTTTATGAATAATGTTATTTTAATTTAAAATTAAATTTATTTTTCAAATTCAATAACATAATAATATATCAAAATATTTAAGATATATTTTTTATTTTTTATATTTTCTTTAATTATCAGTCAATTATTTTATTTTATTTTATATTATTGAACTTGGAAAATGAATTTAAGAATTAAACTTATTATTTTCTTATTTTAATTACCAAACATAGGTAGTTTTTGTTGACTTCATTAATGGACGTGGAGCATGTTTGGCTTGTAATTACCATATTTAACCTTCGACCCCACTCCACCCCATTTACATGACATGAAGAATTGTAATTACCATATTTAACCTTCGACCCCACTCCACCCCATTTACATGACATGAAGAAGACTTCTAAAATGAAAATGATAAACATTGCATATTAAATTAACAATAATTTTAGGGAGACTTCTCCATTTATAAAATTTTTTTACCAACTACATTGATAATTTAATTAACTAAAATGTTGTTTTTTTCTTTGAAAGCCTTCACTTTGAGGTGGACTGTCATATAAACCGTTGGTAAATATTCGAGTAAATTGCGAAGATTCACTAAACTTATTGATATTTTTTTAATAATTTTTTTCTCTATACAAATTTGCTCAAATCTGAAATCTAAACATAGTTTAAATAACTTAAATTTGTCCAAGTTTGAGACTCACTAGCTACCAACTGTTTTACTCTCTTGTTTTAAGATTTTCATTCTTGATTCTCTATATGTTTGATGATTTCTCCTAAATTTGTGAGCAGAGGTTTGTTGTCATCATCAATGGAAACACAAGGATGGACCCACTCATATCAAGAAAACACATTAAGTTATTCTCATTTTGGAGCAAATGATGCCAAGGTATTGCATATGATTGAGTCCTCCACAAAAGTGATTCAAACATTTTAAAACCTAAAATTAAAAATATATATATTTGATTTATTTATTTTAAATCTATCTAGGTGGATGAACGTGGGGCAGCCCTCCACATGTCTGTCAGGGACAAGGAAAATATGGATTATAGCGCATTGTCATCTTCCGACATGTTGCTTAATCTAGAGTTCACTCTTGGGAGGCCGAATTGGCAAATGAACTATGCTGAATCTTCATCAAATGACTTGACAGTTCTTTAAGAGTTAAAAACACTAGCAATTAAAACAAACAACCATGATGTTTTTTTTTTTTTTCCCTTCTTTTTTTTGGTTTTTGTTTTTTCGAACATGGATGAAACCCTTAATGTTCTTGAATTTGCTCCCATGTTCGTCAAATTTTGTCTCTCAGACTTGAAAAGAAAGTCGAGGGTGTTATGATTCTCTTAGAAGAATCATTTGTAGAAGTGAAAAGGTTCTGGGACATAGCTAAGTGACATGTCTGATGATTTTCCTCCACAATAATTAAAAAAAAGAAGAAAAAAGACAATGTTAGATGGTAATATTTTAGTGAGAAGACCAAGAGAATATTCCCCAATCATGGTGACAATTATCAACCATGGTCCATGTAACAGTAAATTGATGGTCTCTGACTGGCATGCAGGTGGGTCTGGCCTGAGCACAATCAATTCATGAGTGTACCAATTTTACATTGTCTTGAATTATGGGATTATAAAGGGAAGTTTCAGTGATTCTTCTTATTGCAAGTTTTAAAAGGGATTAGATATATTCAGTGGTAGATTCACATGCAGTGAAATGTTTCTGTAATTTAAATTTATGACACCTGAGTCACAATGAAATAATTTTATTTTCACACACAAATTATAATGACAAAAATCATATAATCATGGACGTGTTTGAAGTGATATTAACATAATTAAAATGATTGTCTATAAACATCCTTTTATTCCCCTTGACCAAGCATTTTCATTTCAGTTACATAAAGGTTTTATTACATATATTAAAAAAAAATTGACAAAAAATTCAACATGTCAAAATTTAACAACTTTCTTTGGATTGGGTTAAATCTGACCGACAATCGGTTATCTTAGGACTAAGGCCCAATGATACTATGATAACTCCATAGAACGTCTTTTTTTGATGTTAAAAAAAAAAACTTTTATTACAAAATGCTAAGTAGTTGTTTGGAATGTGTTATATAAGTCCACTTTTTGACTTTTTGGTTAAAAAAGTAGAGAAAAAAAGATTTATATTTGGGATAACTTTTTAATTTTTTAAGAAAAAATGTGTAATAAAATATTCTAGTAAAATCAAAATGACAATTTTATCCTTTTGACTTTTTGACTTTTTGGGTAGTTGAATTCAAAAGGTAAAATAATAATTTTACCCGAGTAGCTTCTCCCACAAGTTACCCTTGAATAGTATAGATTTTTTTAGTTTTTTTAATAATTTTTTGACTTTTTGACTTTTTAGGGATAGTTTGGGATGCTTGAATAAGTGACTTTTTATAAAAAAAAATGTGTAGAAAAGTAGAGAAAGTGGTTAGAAAAATAGAGATGAGATGTTGATAGATGTTGATTAATGTGACTCAAATAGGTTCCATGATCTTATTTAAGGCTACATCCTCTTGACCATTGAAGTTGATACCAAGAGTTTTCCCCAATTGGATGGTAGCTGTGGCTTCTTGACTAAGGCCCAATGATACTATGGTAGCTGTGGCTTCTTTGGATTGGGTTAAATCTGACCGACAATCGGTTATCTTAGGACTAAGGCCCAATGATACTATTATAACTCCATAGAACATCTTTTTTTGATGTTAAAAAAAAAAAACTTTTATTACAAAATGCTAAGTAGTTGTTTGGAATGTGTTATATAAGTCCACTTTTTGACTTTTTGGTTAAAAAAGTAGAGAAAAAAAGATTTATATTTGGGATAACTTTTTAATTTTTTAAGAAAAAATGTGTAATAAAATATTCTAGTAAAATCAAAATGACAATTTTATCCTTTTGACTTTTTGACTTTTTGGGTAGTTGAATTCAAAAGGTAAAATAATAATTTTACCTGAGTAGCTTCTCCCACAAGTTACCCTTGAATAGTATAGATTTTTTTAGTTTTTTTTAATAATTTTTTGACTTTTTGACTTTTTAGGGATAGTTTGGGATGCTTGAATAAGTGACTTTTTATAAAAAAAAATGTGTAGAAAAGTAGAGAAAGTGGTTAGAAAAATAGAGATGAGATGTTGATAGATGTTGATTAATGTGACTCAAATAGGTGTATATATATATATAAAAGTGCACTTTTTTAGGTTAACCCAAACAAGCACTTAGTGGTGTTTTGGGAAGTTGGTAAAAAGCTTACTTTTTGACTTTTTTAGTCTATTTTATCTTTTTGTGGGTAAAAAATGTAAGAGGTAATGTAACCTAAAATGGGTAAAAAATTAAAAGCTGACTTTTTTTTTTTTTTGCTTTCCAAAAGACTCCTCAGTTTATCTCAAACAAGGCCTAAATTACAACTCGATGCTCTTTTGTGCTCCAATGTCTTGTTTGAGCTTGGACATGACCGATTAAAGATGGCCGGCCCACTTTTTAGGTTTATAGAGCTATACATTTCATGGGCTGGTACTTCACCGCCGATCTGCTCTCTATGGGCTAGGCGTAATGTGAGCTTTTGAACCTTTTTAATGAATTGTAGAGAAGTTCCATTTCGGAATTTTTTCTTTTTAATAAAAATAAAATTTATGGATACTTTATTCACATGGTCTACAAGACAAACAATTTGGATCACTAAGTAGGATTTGTGGTAAGCTTCACAAGTTTAACTATGTCATGTTAGATTTCAAAAATATATTTTGTTTTTAAAAGAGCTTGTTATTCAGGCTCAAAAGTTTGACCCACTTTCTAAATTCAGTGATGTGTCAAGAAAATAATTTATTGATGATTAAATATTCTCTAATTATCAATCAATTATCTTCTTGACATATCATTGGACTTATATATCATTTTCATTTTCAAAATAGTTTTTGAACCAATTTTTGGGATTAGCAGTGTAACGCCCTCAAAATGCACATAATAAGCATAACTCGAAAGCATATATAAATGACAACATACATTAGAGTAAACAATCCTTTCATTACATGAAACTAATAATACAAAAGAGTTTAACATAAATAAATACCCTTCGGATTTATATCTTTCCAAGTCTTGGCTTGGTTACAACAAAAGGAGACAAGCTCATACAAATTTAGCCCTAGGCTATACAAAAATAAAACAAAACCAGAAACTCTTGCTTCCCAAAGATGCCTCCAACGCTATTGCTTTGGTGGAGGCATGCCATCATTACCTGAAAATGTTTTTCCCAATAGGGTGAGCCACAACCCGGTAGGAATAATCTAACACAGTATATGAGATTTAACAAAGGTATAAGTGCATGTGCATATACAATGCCCGGGATAAAACATTCTTACTTTTATATTGCCATAGAATACCAATTTCATATTACATTATATTTTCCTCCAATTCATTTCAAAGTATATAAATCAATTTCATTATTTTTCAATAACCCAAATAAGACTACAACTCAATGGTTCAACAATTTCACAATCAACACATAAATACTTCCAATTGCCATTTTATGAATATTTCGTCCGCAGGATCGGCATCCATGTATAAATTTCGGGACTTTTACCCAAGACACTCCGGTGAACTTAATTATAATGGAGTCCACCCCATTTCTTCTCCTATACAATGAAATTTTTCCCATTTCTCCTCCCAAACAATCATACATATACAATGTATATAAACACACAAACACACATGGAGTACATCACCTTTCTTTTCGTAAATAATCATACATATACAATGTATAAAATCATAGTCATATTCAATGACAACCAACAAGAGATTAGTTTTAATTCACCTAATCCACATGCAATTTTTACAACAATCAAAGTTATTCTCCACGAATAGCCCAATACAGATATTTCTAAACAGATATACAATCTCAAGACAGATAAATTATCTAAAATTTCCAAAGATGTGAAGTATTATATACTTGGTTCCTCCATCTATTCCAATGCTCGTTCAATTTCATGTTTGCAACGCCAATTTTAATTATTTATACAAAATAATCATGATAATCATTTTAGGGCAAAATCCCATTCTTTTAAATATTAGTCCCAGTACCAAAATCAACTATTTTGAAACTACAATACATCATTCTCAAACTCTATGCTCATTTATTTCACTTTCACCCAAAAACCCCTCTTTTCATTTCATCCAAACCCTAGGTTTGTTCAAATTACTCCCAAATCCCATCATTGTTACACAACCGACAAATAATTAAGTTAAAAATCATATCAAAGTGTAGAAAATCCCTACCTAAAGAGAAAATATGAGCCAAACAAGGGAGAAACTCCAAGGATGCCGAACTCTAACTTTAATCGGTTCAAAGTGAAGATTTTATGAAGCTCTACCTTTTTATCAAAGGAAGTAGGGTAGAGAAATCAATGGATCTAGGTGGAAATGTAGAGAGAAGGTAAGTTTTAGAGAGAGAGGCTCTCAACTTTAGGGTTTAGGATAAAAAGATATGAAAAAGTGATGTAAAAAGTGTTTTTCACGATTTGATATACGTGCAGTCCGCTCAAGCGGGGAAGTTGACGCTCGAGTGTCAGATACAAAGTTTGGTTCCACTCAAGTGCAAGAAGTGGCCCGCTCGAGCGCAGAATACACACATCCAGTATTTATGTAGACAATAGACAACCGTTCGAGCGCAAGAAATGCTGCTAAAGCATCCTCCTGGTCGAGCGTAGAAAACACTCCTCCCGCATTTTGCAAACGTGTAAGATACTGAGTGTTTGCAAACCCTGCTTTAGTGCAAGAAGGCCCGCTCGAGCGGAAGACCAAAATGTTGGGCAACACAAGGTTTGAAAAATAAGCGACCAACCTATCCAAACACAACCAAAACAACCCAAAATCCAATTTCAAAGAGATACAAGGGAAATGGGAGGTAAACAACAATATGAAAATGTTAAACCCGCGTCCGGGATACCACAAGAGTCAGATCAAAACTGGGATCGCTATAACCTCCCCTCCCTTAAAGAATCTCGTTCCCAAAATTTCAAATAAAGTTCAAAATCAACATTAGATCATTCATTACAAAGCTATTCTCATAAATTCAACACTATGACCCATCCTCCAGTCATCCATTTTATTGACTCGATATACAAGCCTCGTTTTGAAAGTGCAATTTACAATTTCTCAAAACATATGCAATGTTTCATCGAAATCCAAGTTCTTTTTCTAAAATTTGCATGGCATGTACAATGCTCTGAGAATGACACAACATACAAAATACTTCATATTCTTAAAATATATACAATGCTTATCTTGAATCCAAAACTTCAAAACACTCATAACATATACAATGTTCTCATAATTTAAAACATATATAATGTTTATGCTTTTCATTAACATAATCAAAATCTCAATACATGTTTAGGCACCAAAAAACAAGTCCGAATATTTCTCTCGAACTTCCAATCCACGTTCCCAAGTCGTTTTCTCAACTTCGCGGTGTTTCCACAATACTTTAACCAAGGGAATTGTCTTGCCTTGCAAGACTTGCTCCCTTCTATCCAAAACTCTCACCGGTCTCTCCTCATACGAGGCATCCTTATCTACCTCCAAGTCGGTCCAATCCAACATGTGCGACGGATCCGGCTCATACTTCTGAAGCATACTAA